TAACATACTATTCATGTGGTTTTAGGGGTTCATGGCATCGATGGCTAAATATCTAAGCTTTTCTTTGTAAATTTTCAAACATATTTACCTATTATCATCTCTAGTATAAATATACGAGGATAAGTGTATTTTAATTTTTTTTTCTATTAGTAGTGTAATTATAAATATGATATTCAAAGCTTTATTATTAAACAATTTATTACATGTGCCAAGAATAACCAAGAATCTTCTATCCGTTTCAAAGCTTGTTGGGGATAACAATGCTTTCTTTGAGTTTCATGCGCATGAATGTTGTGTTCGTGATGAAGACTCTGGTGTTGTTCTTCTTCGTGGGAGAGAGGAAGGTGGCTTGTACTCCTTTGCTGTTGACCCTCAAATGAAAGCTCTTACGATCTTAGAAGCTAACTCCTTGACTGTATCTCTCGGCACCTATGAGCTTTGGCATCGACGGTTGGGCACCCCTCGCATGATAGTTTAGTTAAAATTTGTAAAGAAATGAATTTAAATGTTTCAAATACTATGAATAAAACGTGCGTTGCTTGCCACATAGGAAAAAGTCACAAATTGCCTTTTCATGAGTCAAGTATTGTGTATGACACTCCTTTTCAGCTTGTGTTTACATATTTGTGGGGACCTTCACCGATTGTTTCGAATGGTTTTAAGTATTACCTTTCCTTTGTTAATGCTTGCACTAGGCATACATGGCTTTATCTTTTGAAGGATAAGGAAGAAGCCATTACAACATTTAGGTTGTTCCATCAAATGGTCAAGAATCAATTTGATTTACCTATCAAAGCAGTCCAAAGTGAATGGGGAGGAGAATATAGGAGATTGTCCAATTGTTTGCACAAAGAAGGCATTTCTCATCGCATCAATTGCCGTCACACATCGGAGCAAAATGATGTGGTAGAGCGTAAACATCGATATATCATCGAGCTTGCGCTTGTTCTTCTTGCTCAAGCATCCATGCCACTTCGTTTTTGGTCGTATGCAATTGTCACTGTAGTTCATCTAATTAATTGATTGCCAACAAAGGTGTTGCAAGGATTGTCTCCTTCTGATAAATTCTTCAGCATGAAACCTGTAACACCCCTAACTCGTACCTGACCCGGATACGAGTTCGAGATGTCACATTGACTTATTAAAACAATATTATTAACAAAATACATAACATTTGGACTTATATTAAGAAAATATGATAATATATTGTTGAATTATGTTCATTATAATAAATTTAAGAAAAGAAACATTTGTATGAATAGTACTATATTGTATGAACAGTACCGATACTGTGCAAATAGTACTACTACAGTGTACCGATGCACAAAAACATTGAATATAAATTGTGTATCGATGCACTGCTACAGTGTATCGAATTGACTGCTACAGTGTACCGATGCACTGCTACAGTACTGCTATAGTAACTTCAGCTCAACTTATATAAAACTCATAAAAACTTAAACTTTCATCACTATAAGGTTATCATTTACATAAATACGTTTAAAACATTACCAAACTCGATCAGAGCATACATGCTTATCGACTTTATTTACATGCCAACATATTTATCACATAACAAGATACATTAAATTTATTTCTGATCTGATCTTCGAGTGGAGATATGTTGTTTTGTTGAACTTAGCTTTGATCTTTCTGCTTTTTGGTACCTACATGTAAAAAAATTACACGCTAATTCATAGACTTAGTAAGGCATAATGATAATGTCATAATAATATGAAATGTAATGAAATCATATATTTAATCCATGCAAGTTGCATAACCATGTATCTTACCCATAATTTGATCAAATTAACCATCATGAATTCATATAATAAGTTCACTAGCCCATTATACAATACTGAGAACACGAGGTAGGTGAGTACTGTGAGGTTGTGCACTATGCTGTCACCACAACTCGTATAAATTTGCACCGAAGTGCCACGTAGAATTTGTCCCGAATGACCGCGTAGAAATACACCGTAGTGCCATATAAGATTTGTCCATAAGGACTACATAGAAATTCCTTAAGAATTATATATATATACCAAGGATCAAGTAGGTGTCTCAAAAGACCTCATACATGTTCCAAAGAATACATATATGTCCCGAAGGACCACGTAGAATTATCCCGAAGGACCGCGTAGACCCTCTACTCTTGGCATGCCAACTATACCTATAGTTCTCATCTACATAACATGGGCTTTCACAATTCACATAGTTTATATCACGTAGACATATAAATTCTTACCTTTATCACATAGCTCATATAACTTTTTCCTGCATATTCATGTCACATAATGCATATGGTATGAACTCACATCATGTTTCATAATATGAAATGAATTATATATCAAAGTATTAAATCTAGACTTATCACAATTCTAGAACTGAATATATTTCTATAATCATGCTATGGATATGCACTAACCTAGATCTCTTTGCCTTCCCCTTGATCAATCTTACTTGTCACTTGTTTCGGAACTCGTTTAGGCTCGATATCTACATAAACATAATTTTCGAGGCGATTATTAGAAGTCTAAACCTTATAATTCAATGCTAATAACTTAAGCTAATTTAATGAACCAAAAATTCACTTTTTCCTTTAGGAGTGTACCGATGCACTATGAGTGTATCGGTATACAAATTAGGTTCGAAATTCCCATGCATCGATGCACCCCTTAATGTATCGATGCACCTTCAAAATTGGTCTTAGTGCATCGGTACCCATTCATAGTGTACCGATGCGTCTGTCGAAAATAAACTGGTTTCACCCGAAAATCATCAACACTTCACCCAAATTTTCATGTATACAACCCTTATAATGCTACTAAACTCATCTATAACAACTTTAACTAATTTCTATCATTCCAACACTTTATAATCTCCCATATTTTATCCAAATTCTTAAATCTAAGAATCATACCAAATTTTCCTTGTTATCCAAACTTAATTCTAACACTTAGAACTTCTTATTCTCATAGATGACAAGTCAAATTCAAATTCAACTTCTAAATTCATTTATACATCCTTATTCAAAATTTCACTTATCCACTTCTTAGCTTTAATCCTTCATAACTTACAAATCTTTGAGTTTCTATGACCTTTTTCATCTCCATCATGTTTCCTAGAGCTTCATTAATCAAAATCATGCTTGACTCTTAAGAATTAACCAAAAGAAATCCATCTCACCTTTGCTGTAGTGCTTCTCGGTGGAGAAGAAGAAGAAGATGAGAGAAATGCCTGGAAACATTTGTTTCCCACATTTCTCTTCCACGTGGGTTATAAGATAACCCCCAAATAATATTTTATTCTTTCATTTGTTCAATGACCTTTTTACCCTTTTACTTCTTCTTCATTTGTTAATTCATCCTACATAAAGATATTTCAATTAATTCATTCATCTTTTCAATTTATCCAATATGGTCACTAAATTTTTAAAATTTCACACTTTGGTCACTAACTCGGTATTGAGGATGTTACAAAACCAAAATATGGGTTGTTGAAGGTGTTTGGGTGTCGGTGTTTTCCACATCTACGACCATTTTTGAAGCACAAACTTGAGTTTCGTTCGCAATCATGTACATTTCTTGGATACAATCTTCATCACAAAATGTTCTAGTGTCTCGCTCCTAATGGTCGTATATATGTATAACGGCATGTGGTGTTTGATGAGCTGAATTTTCCTTTTGATGATATTGCTTATCCAGGAACTTCGTCTAGCAAAGTTGGCCAGCATCCCCAAGAAATTGTTATGGACGTCGAAAAGTTTAAAAGATGTGATGGCTCTACCTCATTGGATATGGATCGTGGATCTATTAATGGTAGTTCAGTACCTGTTGAAATTGGTTTACCTGTTGAAATTGGTTTACCTATTGTGCATGAGGAAACATCTAGGGAAGTAAGTTTGGATGACAATAGTGGAATTCCTACTTCCACTCGTTTAGTCCTGTCCATAAGAACCCAGATGGTTCTGTTCAAAGGTATAAAGCCCGGTTGGTCGCCAAAGGTTACTCACAGGTTCCTGGATATGATTTTAAAGATATCTTCAGTCCGGTTGTGAAGTTTCACACGTTGAATGTTATTCTTTCTCTTGTTGTTACTAAGAACTGTCCTCTGTGTCAAGTATATGTGAACAACACGTTCTTGAATGGAGATTTGTCAGAATATGTATTCATGCAACAACCTCCAGGGTTTGAAGAATGTGTTGTTGATGTCTCTTCTCTAGTGTGCAAGCTTCACAAAGCCCTAATATGGTCTCGCCAGGCACCAAGAAATTGGCATGATAAGCTTAAGGTCAGTCTTGCACAAATTGGGTTTGCTGAATCACGAGTAGATGTGTCACTCTTTGTGAAGTGTGTGGATAGTTGCTATATGTTTGTTTTGGTTTATGTTGACGACATAATAGTTACTGGTGAATCTAGGGATGATATTGAAAGAGTGATTCAACTCTTGAAAGGTGATGTCTCACTCAAGTATTTGGGTGAATTGAATTTTTTCCTTGGCATTGAGGTTAAAAGGATTAACGACAAGCTTGTTCTCTCTCAAAGGAAGTATATTCTTGAGTTGCTGGAATTGAAAAATATGAATAATGCCAATCCAACTACTACTCCAATAGTGGGGTCGTCAAAACTGAGTCTAGAAGCAGGGCCATTGTTTTCCGATGCTCGTGAGTATCGAAGTATCATTGGAGCACTTTTGTACGTCTTCCACACTCGACCTGACATTGCGTTCAGCGTGAATAAGGCCGCTCAACACATGCATGCACCTCGTGAGTCTTATATGGAAACAATCAAACGAATACTTTGATATTTGGCTGGTACCTTGGACTGCAATCTCACGTTCTTGGCTGATGAAAAAGGACTAAAGGTTGTGGCTTTTGCTGATGCTGACTGGGGGGCGATGCGGATGATCGTAGGTCGATTTTTGGTCATACAGTGTTTATCGAAAAGTGACCCGTGATCTGGATCTCGAGGAAGCATAAGATTTTTTCGAGGTCAACCATGGAGGCAGAATATCAAAGTGTCGCAGACACAACAGCTGAAGTAACCTGGGTTAGTGCAGTGTTAGCTAATTTGGGTGTAAAGCAACGAGAAAAGTCGGTTATCTGGTGTGACAATACCATCACCATTGCTATGAGCGTGAATCCGGTTTACCATGCTCAATCTAAACACGTGGATATGGTTGTTCATTTTATTAAAGAAAAGGTTGTTAAAGTGTTACGTGTCAGCTATGTTCCAGCCAGTTGTCAGGTTGTAAACGGTCTCACAAAGCCTTTGACTAAAGATGCATTTGAAGTATTCAGGGACAAGGTATGTGTCTTACCTTGTTAACACAGGAGAAAGAAGAAGTAGAGGAAATATTGGAATAGTTAGTTGCACGTAAGTTGTTAAGCTGTTAGAGGTGGTTAGCTGAGCAGTTAAAGTTAGGTATATGATTAGACTAGTTGTGTAAAGCTATAAAACCAGTGTACTTGTTCTTAGAAAAGTGAAGAAAGAAAATCATTACTCTTCCATTTCTCTTTATGTTTTCTTCAGTATTCCAACACCCAGCTACCATTACTTGCTGTTTCGTGTCCACTAGTTGAATGGATCAAACTTGGTAATAGGATTTGAAGATGGTTGGGAAACCTTCCCTTTTCTGCATTTTTGCTTGCTAGCTAGCTGTGTGATTAACATTGTCTATCATTCGCGTTTTGCCACTTGCTACACCATATTGATGGTGATACTAATCATTCTAACCCAATTTCTAGTATAAATTGTTGGAATTTATGTAAAAGAAAAATCTTTGGAAAATGATGATATTTGTAGTAAACTGAATTTTAATAAGACATGAGAGTTTGTGACCATCAAAATCAAACCAAGAAAAGTAATTATGAGTGAAGTGAAGTGGAAGATTTGTAGGTTTGACCGATCAATTTTGTTGACAGGGCAAGCAATTAGAACAGTGGAGCTTGTTTGACGATGACCCTTTTTCATGGTACCAAACGCATATATTCTAGAGAATCCAGGCCGGAGGAACAGATATGAGTCATTTTCGAGGCATCGGACGGAACATCGTTCTCCTCAAAACAACTTTTGCCAACTAAATCAAACATGTCTTCAGGTCTTAATTTTGTTTCAAACTTTGAATTCCATAAACCGCCTTCGTATATTTCTGTACGCTTTCATTCCAAACTAGCACTTTCAACAGGTGAAGCAAAGGGACTATCCCACTTCTACCACTGTAACTTGGTTGCCGGCCTCACCTGCTTAAGTACCATCATCAAACCCTAAACCATCTATAAAGAGTCTTCTCCACCAACCAAAAAGGCCAAGTCTAACAAGGGATGAGATAAACGAGTACTTGGTTTGGACTTTGACGATAATATTAATCAATGTTTGCTTACATGAGAATCATTCATTAATATCACGACACTTCTGTTCCTTAGTTTCAAAGTGAAAACAGTTGTGGGTTCTTGAGAATTATTAAACAAGTAGCAAGTACCTTGAGAATATAGTAAAATAACAATGGCCATTAAGAACACACCAATAGACTTGGTGGTCCATTAATTAGATAATTCTGCAATCAAAATTCAACTACATATTGTTGGAACAGTCGGCTCCAGGGAAATTGGAAGAGAATTGGAAGTACATTAGGTGAAAATAGCGAAAAGTTATGGAGATTAATCAGCATGAAATACCTAGGAAATCACTACTTTAATTTTTATTATTATTTTAAAAAAATAAGCATGTATTTATGATGTCTCTAATATTATTTTTTAAACATATCATCGAAATATCTATTTTAAAATGTAAATTATATAAAAGTTTGAGTTTTGTTTTTTTATATATACGAGAGTTTAGTTTGCAAGCTTATGACAACGAAACTACCATAAGTTACTCAAATTTATTCATAGTTAGTTTAGTATAACTTTTGAAAAGTGATTTTTAAAAGTGTTATAGAAACAAACATTTAAAAGTGTTGTATAAAAGTGTATTTTAAAATTTAATTGTTTGGATTGTTATTAAAAAGTGAGTTTGAGAAGATAAAAGGTCGATTATAAACATTATGTTATAAATTTAAAAATATAAAAAATACAAACAAAAATATAATTATAATAAAAATATAATTTATAATAACTCACTATTAATATTTTAATATATAAACCATTAATTTATTTACTTTTAAGTCATTAAAATAAATTATTAAGTAATAAAATATTTTTAAGGATATTAGTATTAAATTATTTAAAATAAAATATAAATACATAATTAAGTTGAGTCAATGCATTAGTAAGGGTAAAATTATAATTTACTTTCAAATGCAAAGTTGAAAACGAAAAAACTAGAAATCCTAGCTTTTACTGTTGATTTGAAACCACAATTTCTACCGTATTTTTTTTTTATTTTTTTACCTGTTTGACATTGATTTTGCGATCAAAATAGACTTTTAACTAAAAATGCTTTTAGAAACTCTCAATTTAATTCAATAATGAACATGTTAAACTCAAAATTATGAGATTATCTTACTTTTGAGTGCAGCGCGAGTTAAAAAAAAGAAATAATGTTATTTGCACATGTTGAAAAGCTTGATCATCATTTAAGGGTAAGCTTCAAACTCTATAACTTAAATAATTATTTATAACCGCTATAAAATTAACTTAAGGCCGTATTATATACAAGATATTTTTAATATTTTTTAATCATTAACAACGCGTGTACATCCTTCAGAAGTAGCTGCACGAACTCATGACTTCAAGAAAGAATAACACTCTCTTATGAGGTCACTCAATGAGGTCAAATACAAGATATTTATTTATGTAATTTTTTTATATATTATTTAATATGCTGATCATATTATCAATGTGTTGAATATAATTTTTTAAAAAAAAAATTAGATAGTATGAGTTTTGATGCGAAGTCAATGTGAAATATTATCTTAATTTAACATAGTAATTTCTTGCCAGATTTATGTTGTCAACTCAAGCGGGTTAATTGCAGTATAAGTAGGAGCTATGGGATTTGTTCGTACGTACAAGTAGTCCTTTGAAGTGAGTGATTTGATGTGCATAATCTACCTTTGTGAAGAACCAAGATCATTATGGTAATCAAGATTAACTTGAAAATTTAGACAAAACAAATCTTACTTTATCAACACTCTAAAGTTCAGCTCGACCAGAACAAATATGGCCAGCATCTTCACAGTAACTCATCAATCAAATGTATACCTTACCACCTAATCAACCATCTCTCTATATATATTAAGCCTTGCATACCTTCACATATATTAGATCTTCACATTGTTCCTTCACCAACACTGCTATGGCATCGGCAATGCTCTTTTCTTTCTTGGTTGTGTTGTTATTGCTGGAGAATGCAGCCGCTGAAACAAGGCATTACAAGTTCAATGTACACAATCGGAACACTTGTTTGTTTTCAACTTATTTTTTTTTATAGTTTGATGCTAATATCTTTTTGCTGTTAAATGATTAAAGATTGAGTACCACAATGTTACAAGACTGTGCCACACAAGGACCGTTCTGACCGTGAACCGGAAGTTTCCAGGGCCTCGGTTAGTAGCGAGGGAAGGTGACAGAGTGATTGTTAAGGTGGTTAACCATATTGCCAATAATGTCACCCTTCACTGGTATGAATCTTTAATCCAAATGCTAATGCATCTTAAACTTGTTCTAACTGTTGTAGTGGTTAAGCAGTTTGTTGTTTTGGTATCCGGAACAGGCATGGGATTCGACAGCTAACGTCAGGATGGTGGGATGGACCTTCTTACATAACACAGTGTCCCATACAAACAAACCAGTCATTCATTTACAACTTCACAATCACAGGGCAAAGAGGAACTCTATGGTGGCATGCTCACATCTCCTGGTTGAGAATATCCGTCTATGGACCGATAATTATCCTCCCAAAGCGCAATGAATCTTATCCGTTCCAGAAACCACACAAGGAAGACATCATCATGTTTGGTAAGAAATTTTCCTTCAACCTTGTTGTAGCCATAAGCATTGGCTTCATGTCTTTCAGGTTTGCCTACAACTAATATCTGCATGGCTATGGGATTTCAGGAGAGTGGTTCAATTCAGACCCTGAAGCTATAATCAGCCAAGCACTTCAGACAGGTGGTGGTCCCAATGTTTCTGATGCATATACTATCAATGGGCTTCCAGGGCCGCTCTACAACTGTTCTTCTAAAGGTATTATGATCAGTTAATGTTATAGCATGAACAGTTCTTTTTTTTTTTGGGTAATGAATTGGACATCATAGTTCGTCGAGCCATCCATGCAAGTTTGAGTTTAACGTGCTTGTTTTCGGTACGAGTGTTACAGACACTTATAAGCTGAAGGTGAAGCCGGGAAAGACGTATCTCCTCCGATTGATCAATGCTGCACTCAACGACGAGCTTTTCTTCAGCATTGCCAATCACACGGTAACGGTAGTCGAAGGCGATGCCATATATACCAAACCTTTCGAAACCGATAAACTTCTTATCGCTCCGGGCCAAACCACAAATGTTCTTCTGAAAACCAAGCCTGAATTCCCCAGTGCCTCCTTCCTAATGGCTGCTAGACCTTACTTCACCGGACAAGGCACCTTCGATAACTCGACCGTCGTCGGAATTCTTGAATATGAACATCCATCCGATCAAAAATCATTTAAAACTCTTACTTTAATGCAGCCAACCCTCCCTTCTATTAATGCTACAGGTTTTGTTGCAAACTTTACAGGGAAGTTTCGCAGCTTGGCCAATGCTAAATTCCCTGCTAACGTACCTAAAATGGTCGACAAGAAATTTTTCTTTACCGTAGGACTTGGGACGAACCCCTGTCCGAAAAACACAACCTGCCAAGGACCTAATAATTCAAGCAAATTTGCTGCTTCTGTAAACAATGTTTCATTTTTATTCCCATCTGTGGCAATGCTCCAAGCTCACTACTTTGGACAATCTAATGGAGTTTACACTACAGATTTTCCTACACAACCATTAATTCCATTTAATTACACCGGCACCGGACCCAATAACACGAATGTGATGAACGGAACTCGAGCGGTTGTGCTAAAGTTTAACACGAGTGTTGAGCTGGTGATGCAGGACACTGGCATTCTCGGTGTGGAGAGTCACCCACTTCATCTTCATGGATACAATTTTTTCATTGTCGGACAGGGTTTTGGAAACTTCGATCCGAATAAGGACCCTGCAAAATTCAATCTCGTCGATCCCATGGAGAGGAATACAGCTAGTGTTCCTGCCGGTGGTTGGATCGCAATTCGGTTCTTTGCCGACAACCCAGGTAAATTATCTTCTTCTTTTTTATCTCATTTTCAACCCCAAAAAAATGAGAGTAAGGTATGGATTGAGAAAAATAATCTGTACTTTCTTTACAGGAGTATGGTTCATGCACTGTCACCTTGATGTTCACACAAGTTGGGGACTGAGAATGGCATGGATAGTCTTGGATGGTCCGGGACCAAACCAAAAGTTGCAACCGCCACCATCTGATCTTCCGAAATGTTGATTTTGATAACTGTTCTTGGTCCTGTTTTGAATGTTTCCGAATCTTGTGCATTTAAATTTTAACTTGATCTTCATTTTCCATGCAATTCTGTTGTTGCATCCTATGGTGTGGTACATTTCATCAATGTATGAATGAATGGATGGTTCGGTTGGAGGAGGGAATGTACAGCAGTTGAGGTGTAAACATCTGATGGATTTAATTTATATGTTTTGTGCTTTGCTTTTAATATTGGTTTAAGTTCCGTAATTACTTTCCTTCCTGCTATCATTAATTTGTTTGCTGCAAACAAAAGTTGATCTAATTACATCCCTCTAAACTGGACATTGACATATCATGGCTAGTGTTAAAGGATTGCTGATAATAAAATTCCATATTCATTGCGTCATTTCATGTTTGTTTTACAACGAAAACGAAAGTCCTGTTCGACATGCCGGACAATAGTACGGAAATGAAACTCTTAGACACTCAGATTGAAATACTCTCCTCTACAGCATAAACATGGGAAAATACTGCTTAAAATCCTGATAAATGGTCGTTAAGACAAAATATGATCAAAGAAACAAAGGTCCAGAGCCCAACCTCTTAACCTGAGATGGTTTGGTTTCTTTATCTGCTACCATTTTGGATAAAACACCCGACAGGATCTCCCGGATGAGAATGAAACTATACTAGGTGTAATCTTCTTTCCACTTGGTGGATAAGCGTACCTTGTTTTTCTTCTTCTTTTCAGTTGGCATACAGTTGAAAAATTCCAAGGTTTTAGTCGGTGAGCGTGGAATCCACGAGCCAATAAGATTTTTGATGTTATGTTCTCTTTATGTTTTGATGTATCGTTTGTTTTTCATGTTAATGAGCACGTGAGATGATAAACAATATAGGAACCCGTGCTTAGGCCACGTGAGCTTTCCGGGAGGTGACGCCATGCGCTGCGGCAGTTACTACTGTACAAATTATGAAACTATTGCTCTCTTTTATGTAAATCATATAAAGTAATTATTACCACACTATTCGGCCAGCTGATATTCCATTTTATAACAGTTACGAACTCCTATTGCATGTATTCCAATTCTGATATATATATATATATATTTTATATTTGTGCTATCATATCCAAAATCGAGTAGAGTTCTGGAAGATTTGGAAGGAATGAAAGAACTTTGTATTTATTTAGAAGAGCTCCTGCAAATCATTTTGCATGATTGGTACACTTTGGTGTATGTTCATTTGCATGATCACTTCTACACTCTTTATGGACAAGGTAAGGTGTCAAAGTACAAAAACCTATGTGTAAACCCCGTTAATCCTACTTCTAATTGACCAGGATCCTCCTCCATTCCCACCGTTGACAGAAAGCGACAATGGAGCTCTTAGCCTGGACTACTGCAACTTAATAAACAGGGGACATAAGCATTCATCAATCGCTCGAGCATTCATCATAGGCTGCTCGAAAGCGGAGACCATTGCCTATGTGCTTTGATGTGGGGCATATCCAGCACAATATCCTTGGACCCAATACCTGATACAATCAGGTGGGAACACATGAAATAAGAGTTGCAAATATGTTATTAATTTTCAGCTGGCCTAGGCAAGTTAATACCCAGCATATACCCAGAAACTATAATATAAAGCTAATGGTAAAAATACGAGAACTTTTCTCATGTTCATCAATGTAAAAGGCCTAATGGTAAAGTCTCGTAAAAGCCACAAATGCAGCATCTTTCATATCTCGACATAGAAGAAGTTGAGAGAGCAGTTTCATTACTAGTTTTTACCGTTACTAGATTTCGGTAGGCACCAAGATCATACGGATGCTTATAGGCATTCCCTAATTTATCTTCAAGTCCCGTGGCTCTGACCCCTTCATGATACTGCCGGGTTTAGAATGAAAACCAAAGGAAATGAGTAAAACAATCATTCTAAGTGGGAAAACAGATTAGAAATAAACAACAATTCGGCAAAAATAATCCTCATCACCTCAATAGTGGTCTTATTTTGCAAAATCAGGTAGATATGCCAACCCAAGAGAACACTTAAAGCCATACTCAAGGGGACTAGCAACAGTCCGGAAATAACCTGAAAATACAAATTAGTAAGCATACCACAGATATGTTAAGTTCTAGCACTAGAACATTGGTAAATCGTTGACATTACATATACGATTCTCAAAGAGTCTGCACTTTGCTCCTCATCTCTTTGGGAATCATTAGTTAGACTACCCACAAGTAAAACCTGATAAATAGAAAAATAAATGAGAAAAGGGACCGGAAGATCTCATCAGAATCCAGCTGGGGTACCCCAGTACAACTAAACATCGTCTCAGAGGCAAAATTAAAGCACAAGAAAGAGTTTACGAATCAGAAAAGAGGATCAAAGCTCACAAGAGAAACCAATATGTTACTATGATACAACGTACCAGAGAATAGATGCAAGCAATCACGGTATATACAACAAAGACGAAGAAGACCTTGTAGTTGGAATGTCCGACACAATTATTTATCCAAATGCAATGGTGATCCTTACAATCAAGAAGAACAAATTTAGTACGGAAGACATGATAGAAGTGCATGAACCGTGACATAGATTGCATGTACCATTCTTAGAACGCATGTCTTGCAAACACGACAATGATGTGCACGAGGAGGTTTAAAGTGAGAACACTTTTGGCAATATCTCAAGTCTCCTCCCTGCAAAAAACTTCAAACAAAGGTCAGAAGATGAAAAATAGATAAGTAAAAAGTTATGCAAAAAATATAAGTCTATTAACGTCCCAACTACCGTAAAGTTTCGTTGCATATCCGATCTAGACAGTGTATAGAGGAGTTGACCAAAATTGTGAAGGTTTTAACTCCACTTACAAGTGGATTGTTTTACCACCGAGATCAGTTTTACAAGTGATGCAATTAAAATCAGTCTTCGAATAGAAGACGAATCCAAGCAAATAGGGCAAGCCAACTTCTTTCAATTATTCGGTTTCCTAGTAAAAGTTCTTGTTAACATGTAAGATCAAATGTGACCTACAGACGCATCAACTTATGACTTTTAAGTTATTCCTTCGAAAAGAACAAGGAAACTGTAACGGTAATGCAAGACGACAATGTCAGAAACGAAAATAAAAGTGCTGATCGTTAGAGAGACCTAAAAAACAGCTAGTGTGTCATCCTAACAAGAGTGACGAAGTGCCAAAATGACAGTCTGTGTTATGGTTAACAATCAGATAACACATAACAGTTTCTGTTATGACTAAGACCAAATATCCAGACAAACCATGATATGTATTCTTACCTTGCTGCTATTGCAAGGTCTTTCTACCTATGTTGCTCCAACTCTTCATTTTTCTTTTAAGAACACAAGTCCAACACATATTTGGACATGAGTACAGGGGTATATATGACCGTCAAAATAAATAGTAAATTTAGAAAAGAAAATCTCGGACACATACCTACACCTGACACTCCTATCCAAGTCTATGTAACAGAGCTTTCTACAATGCAGAATATATCAAACGAACCCTTGAATATAGAGCAGTAACTAATCTACTTTCTTCCCCAAAATAATGAATCAATCATTCTGACCATATTTTTCAAGTAAGTCATCTCATTTACTCATCAATTGATTAGAATGTTTTTCATAATACAATTTGATCATCTTTCTTTTTTGGCATCTTTGACACATTAAGAATAAAATCTAATTAGAAGACATGATTTAGGTCATTGAATCTAACTATTTATCCCCGATTCCAAAACTTTCGCCAAATTAGATGATCCTTTTTCTCCACATGCATATTTTCTAATCTTTTCCAACTCCAAAATCAGCTCATTTGATTCATTGCATGAAACAGTCACAAAATTGTAACAATCCCAATATTAATCAATTTATTTCTAAGAAATCTAGATTGCAAGAATTATTATTATTTTACAAAAAACATAAAACTTTATTTCAAAAAATGTATTACAAAAACAAACAAAAATAACCTTAACAGATATAGCAAAACAAAGAATTCGCCTGTTTATTCTGAGCGTACCTTGCGTTTGATCTCATGGACGGTAACACTGGAATCTTCAATGTTGGGTAAGAATGTAGACGGGACCCGCCCTGGATCCATGATGATTGCAAGGGCGTAATTTAGCACGCACATGAAGGAAACGCCGGTGAAAGCGAAGGCGTTCATAATACCAGGAGAGGTCATTAGACCGAACCACCTGTCAATAAAAACAAAGACCGTACAAAAATAAACAAAGGCGATGGAGGAAACGACAACCGTTACAGGCAAGGAAAAGCTGAAGCCTCGTTTCATGGTTTAACGCGTTTCTCTTTCTATAATGCACGAGGCGTGTGGTGGAGTCGCCGGCGTTCAAAACGACGGCGTCTCCAGTCCTCGCTGATGTCAAGGAGGATCCTTTTTCAAAAGAAAATTAAAATGGAGCTTTTTTATTTTGGGATGTTGGTATTGGGAAACAACTGTTCATATGAATGGTGCGGTGCTGTTAAAGTATTTTCCCTCATTTTACTCGAATGCCCCTTGCTTTTATTGTTATTTTTATAACTTTTACCCCCAAAAAACCAATTTTCTAAATATCTCCACCTTAAATATTTCCTTTACCGAAACCTTTAATGTTTAAAAATTGGTTATATAATACGATGAGTTTGAATGTATTTAAACGTTTAATATATTTTGAATTGGGAGTGGAAATGTGGAAAAATTTGTTGAGAGAAAAGAGAGCTTGTATTTGTAGATGAAATCTATGTAGAACCTGATACATATTGATCAATGGTATCTTTTTCTTTTTTTCCTAGTAATGGATCGCCGAAAAGTAGAACTTGAAACAATCTTGAGCTAAGGAAAGTTGTTCTTTCAAGATCAGCAGGTGGAGGCATTAGTTTCTGTTTGCGGCCCTTTCCATCATTGACTACCCATGCCATCTTCAATCCCCAGTTTTTTTATACTTTCAGATGACAGTGCATAAACCAAACGCCTGGATTGTTTGCGAGGAACCGAATGGCCACCCAGTCGTCGGACGTGACACCTACAGTGTTCCTCTCGGTGGGGTCGACAAGGTTGAACTTTGCATGATCCTTTTTGGTTTCAAGTTGCCAACACCTAGGATGTTTGTATCCTACAAAACTAACTCAACGCTATTGCGACACCAAGGTGGTGTCGCTGTTCAACATGATGTTTTAGGGTGGTGTGTCTGTGTAGTTGAACTTGAATGGTGGGTTGGTTGGGAAGTTGGTGGTCTAAACTCTCCCTTTGATTGGTTAAAGAAGTGAGCTTGGAGAAGCGCAGTATTTGGTTGCGCAACTGAGACATCGTTAACTGCAGCTGTTGGCCTAGTGTTGTTGGGACCCTGGTATGTTCTGTTTTTCGAGCACGGGAGTATCCCTAGCCCAACCGTGAACAAGGAGCGTCTATCAACTTTTTTAGCAACTTTTGCAGGGAATTTACAGACTGCGATATAAAGCATACATCGAGCATAAACGCAGCCGAATTGATCGATTATAAATATCTCCAGTCATTGTCTGTTGGTTTTTAGCAAAAGTCCTACATTGGTTGTGTATAAGGAGGAGGGGAAATTCTTTTGTTATAAATAAAGCCCTCATCCTCCTTAGTTAATCATCCCACAAATATAAGCATTCTTCTATTTTAAAGGCTATTTGTATTCTTTCTCTCTTTGTAATATTTCCTCTATTAGTGAAATATTTTGGTGTTCTCTTTTATGTCTATTTAATAGCTATTGTCGGGTATAGTTGTTAATTATTGTCCTATTAAAATTACTTGTCTTGGTAGTTCTGTCTAAGGAAAGTGGGTTTTAAGAGGGACCATTGTGACCCCTCCTCTTTCCTGGGAATCTACCTTGGGGTGATTTTTAGTACAATCGTTTTCACACTAGTCACCTAGATAATAGTTTTCAAGGTGAATCTGTTATTGGTGGAAATTAACCCGAATTTCACAACAATTGGTATCAGCGCTCTTAGTTTATTTTAGTATGCTCTGTGGTTGCGGCTTAGGCTGATCTTCCACATCAGAAAAATTTCCTTGGGATAATTGACATTCCGCATTGGCAGCTATTAAATAGAATTTGTAGCAGAAATGACAGACGCTTCTTTATCTTCAATTTTGGCAAGAAATGCTGTGACAAATGTTAGATTTGCAGTGGATATTTTTGATGGCACCGGTCATTTCGGCATGTGGCAAAGCGAGGTTCTAGATGCCCTATTTCAGCAGGGTCTAGACATTGCTATTGAAGGAGAGAAACCAGATGATGTTGAGGAGAAAGAATGGAAGAGGATCAATAGAATGGCATGTGGTACTATTCGATCGTGTCTTTCTAGAGAGCAGAAGTATGCATTTTCTAAGGAAACTTCTGCAAGTAAATTGTGGAAGGCACTGGAGGAGAAATTTTTGAAGAAAAGCGGTCAGAACAAACTCTACATGAAAAAGAGATTGTTCCGCTTCATCTATGTACCAGATACCACTATGAATGATCACATTACTAGCTTTAATCAGCTGGTGACTGATCTGATGAATATGGACGTGACTTTTGAAGACGAAGATCTGGCTCTAATGTTGATGGGATCACTTCATGATGAGTTTGAGTATCTTGAAACTACTCTACTTCATGGGAAGGTTGATGTGTCTCTCAGTGAAGTAACTGTTGCCTTGTATAGTTATGAATTGAGAAAGAAAGACAAACAAGAAAACACAAGTGTCGAAGCAGAAGCTCTTGTTGTTAGAGGCCGTTCCAAGAGTCAGAATAAAGGAAGCAGAGGGAGATCGAAGTCAAAGTCCAGATTGAGCAAAGATGAATGTGCCTTTTGTCGAGAAAAATGGCACTGGAAGAAAGAATGTCCCAGGCTAAAGAATAAAGGCAAACCTGAAAGGGGGAAGGCTGTCTCAGAATCAAATGTGGTCGAGTATGATGATGGAGATTCAGATTTCGCATTCGCTGCTACGTCATCAACCAACTGTTCCAGTTCATGGCTGTTAGATTCAGCTTGTAGCCACCATATGACCCCCAATAGAGAATGGTTCTTTGATTTTAAAGAACTAAAAGGTGGAATTGTCTACACAACAAATAATTCCCCTCTTGACACACTTGGGATTGGTTCAATTCGCTTGAGGAATCAAGATGGATCAATCAGAACCTTAACAGGTGTCCATTATGTACTAGATTTAATGAGAAATCTCATCTCTGTGGGAACTTTAGAGTCAAAAGGTTTAGAAGTGAGGGCAAAAGATGAGATTATGAGGATTATCTCTGGTGCACTGGTGATAATGAAGGGAATCCGAAAAAGAAACAATGTGTATTACTTTCTGGGTAGTACAATTGTTGGGACAACAGCAGTGGCAGCTTCTACTGATGAACAGGAGTCAGAAGCAACCAGGTTATGGCATATGCGCTTGGGGCATGTTGGTGAAAAATCCTTGAAATTACTGATAGATCAAGGATTATTGAAGGGTGCTCGGGCTTGCAAATTAGCTTTTTGTGAGCATTGCATCAAAGGGAAGAAGACGAGGGTGAAATTTGGAACAGCAATCCATGATACTAAAGGTATTTTGGATTATGTTCATTCAGATGTATGGGGGCCTTCCAAGACAACTTCATTGGGAGGAACACACTATTATGTCACCTTTGTTGATGATTTTTCCCGGAGAGTTTGGGTGTATCCAATGAAGACAAAGGATGAGGTGCTAGGATTTTTCCTTAAATGGAAAAAGATGATGGAGACTCAAACAGGCAGAAAAATCAAACGTCTCCGTACAGACAATGGTGGAGAGTACAAAAATGATCCATTTCTGAAAGTCTGTGAAGAGGAAGGTATTGTTAGGCACTTCACTGTCAGAGGTACACCACAACAGAATGGGGTGGCAGAGCGTATGAATCGGACATTAGTGGAGAAGGTTCGGTGTATGTTGTCTAATGCTGGGTTAGGCAAATAATTTTGGGTTGAGGCTTTGGTCTATGCTTGTCACCTTGTCAACCGCTTACCATCGACTGCTATTGGTGGTAAAACACCATTAGAGAAATGGTTTGGAGTACCTGCTACAGATTATGATTCCTTACATGTGTTTGGTTCCACTGCATACTACCATGTTAAGGAGTCAAAGCTGGATCCAAGAGCAAAGAAGGCGATCTTTATGGGGATCACCTCTGGTGTGAAAGACTATCGTCTTTGGTGTCCAGAAACAAAGAAAATAATCTTCAGCAGGGATGTTACCTTTGATGAATCTACCATGTTGAGAAAGGTGACTTCAGAAAAATTGGAGCAGACAGATGGAACTCCCAAACAGGTGGAGTTTGAAGGAAACAAATTTGTCCCAACCAGTAAAGAAACTGATGTTGACTCTCCTATGGTAGAAGAAGATTCAGATGAAGAAGAGGTTCAGACCCAAGAACCTCCACAGCAACATGAATCAATTGCACTCAGAAAGGGAAAGAGGACCATTAGACAACCTGCTCGTTATGCTGATATGGTCTCTTTTGCATCACCAATTGCAATTGATGACGTTCCTGCCACTTTTAATGAAGCATTTCAAAGTTCAGAACATAAAAAGTGGAGGATCGCCATGAATGAAGAAATGCAATCCCTTCAAAAGAATCAGACGTGGAAACTAGCTAGTCTTCCGAAGGGAAATAAGGCAATTGGGTGCAAGTGGGTATATGCAAAGAAAGATGGATTTCCTGACAAGAATAACATCCGCTACAAAGCAAGATTGGTGGCTAAAGGCTACGCTCAAACGGAGGGAGTTGATTATAATGAAGTATTTTCTCCAGTTGTAAAACATTCCTCCATCAGAATTTTGTTGGCTTTGGTAGCTCAGTTGGATTTGGAACTAGTTCAGATGGATGTAAAAACTGTATTTTTACATGGAGATTTGGATGAGGAAATCTACATGACTCAGCCAGATGGATTCAAAGTTGCTGAAAAAGAAGAGATGGTGTGCAAATTAGAAAAATCGTTGTACGGATTAAAGCAATCTCCAAGGCAGTGGTACAAGCGATTTGACAAGTTTATGATAGGGCAGAAGTACACAAGAAGCAAATATGATCATTGTGTGTATTTACGCGAGCTAGAAGACGGATCCTATATATATCTTCTTCTTTATGTTGATGATATGCTGATAGCTTCCAGGAGTCAGACAGAAATTGCGAAACTAAAGACTCAATTGAACAGGGAGTTTGAGATGAAGGATCTTGGTGAAGCGAAGAAGATTCTAGGCATGGAGATATCAAGGGATAAGAAATTGGGGAGGCTTTGTTTGTCTCAGAAAGAATATCTGAGGAAGGTACTAAAACGTTTTGGCATAAATGAGATGTCAAAACCAGTTAGTACACCTCTTGCTCCTCATTTCAAGCTCGGTGCATCCATGTCACCTAAGGATGATGCAGAACGGGAATACATGTCAAAGGTTACGTATGCAAGTGCTGTTGGTAGCTTGATGTATGCAATGGTG